AACAACTCACAGACAGAAATAGAGAGAGATGGAGAAATAGTCTCTGACAGAGAGATGCGATGAAGGCAAACAAAGCAAGAGAAAGTAGACTGAAAAATAGTTTGAGTCAGCTCTCCTCTCTTTTTCTCTCTCTTACCTTAGGGATAGACCTCTGGTGCCCTCTCACTAATTGTTATTCATCTGATTGTCCCATCACTCCTCAGGTTCTGGCTGTTACTCTCCAGGTGGAGCAGAGAAGAATTGAGGTATGGAGGGCAAGTGGTCTGAGCTTTCTGCTTTGGAAACATTACCAAAGCCATAGCCACTGGTTGGAAAAGCAAGCTATTGCTCCTATGGTCATTGGAAGAAAGAGCCAAAGGCTTACTTTTGGTCTTTTTGCTAGACACGAACTGTTCTGCGGTCTGTGCTAGGCTGGACTTCGCAGAATTGGACAAAAAACTCTCTTCCTTACATACACACACACAATTCCAGCAACCTGGGAGGGGGGAGAAAGTTGAGTTTCCACTAGAAAACAGAGACCTTTGCCTACAAAGGGACCTTGGATCAATACTGTTTGGACTTAGATAGAAGTCTGTTTCCTCCTGGGCAGAGAGAGATTTAAGTTTATGGTTCAATTCATCTTTAAAAGAAAAAGAAAATGAGGGAAATTTTGATGGTGCTTTCTGATATTTATTTCAGTGCAGCCTCAGACTTTAATTCACATAACAGTTTGCTAAGCCAACCCCATAAATCATAGAAATCAATTCCTTTTATAGTTATTATTACTTTTCCTAAAGGGGGAAACAAGGAAGTAGTCTGATCAGTGAGGAAGGGGTCTAGAGATGGGGACTGGAAATGAAGGTAGAGACAACAAGGAAAGCCTTCCGGCTCCCAGTTTCAGATTAGTCAATTTTCTAGAACAGAAGAAAGACAGCCAGAAACTAAACACAGAGCCAGAGAAGACAAACATAGTCAACACATTGGATTGAATAAAGAGACTTTTGGATTCTGGCCTTGGGATCTACCACTAACATGATGTGTGAGCATAAACACATTTAACCCTCAGTTTCCTGATCTGTGTAATAGAAAGAAAAACAATTTCTCCATCTATCTCTACAGTGGAAGAATGAGAACAAATAAATGGATGGAAAAGCACTTAGAACAATAATACAAAATAGTGACATATTCAATTCATCTTGATTACACAATGAATGATTACTGCTCTCTTTTCTTCCCCTCCCTATCCTCATCTAGGTTGAGGATAGGAGGGATTAATCAGGAGAGAGATCCTGTCTGCTCTACTCTGATCAGAGGGTGAAAAGGAATGGGGCAGTGTGCTTCTCTTACCTCTGATACACACAAACACATATACAAACATACATATACACACATAATATACATACATATATACATACATAAGCACAAACACATACATACATATACACACATACACACACCCCTTGCCTGAGACCTAGCCAAATCTAGTCTCTTTTCATTGGGAAACAAGCAGCAAGAACTTGAAAGGGAACCTAGTGAGAGGAAAAAAAGGAAGACACTGTGAAATAAGTGACCTTCTCTAATTTTCTCCCATATAGACTGATCAGGCTGAAGGAAATTTTAACCTGAGCAATTTTCCACTGATGCCACCCTTTGTCCTCTCTTTTTCCTTGAGTTCTAAAATGAGAAGAGGCCTTAGAGTAAGATGGGAGAGGCAGCTAGGTGGCGCAGTGGATAGAGGACCTGCCCTGAAGTCAGGAGGACCTGAGTTCACATCTGGCCTGAGACACTTGACACTTAACTAGCTGTGTGACCCTAGGCGAGTCACTTAACCCTATTGCCTAACAAAAACAAAACAAACAAAAAAAACCCCACAGTAAGATGGGAGTGGTAAACCTTTTTTGTGTAAGTTGTGCCTAACTCTTGTCCCCTCTCCTTATTCTTACTTAGTTTAACTCTCTAAAATCTATCCCTATCTCCTCCCACCTCTCCCTCTGTCTCCGTCTCTCTGTCTCTCTCCCTTTCTTTCTCACACACACACACACACACACACACACACACACACACACACATTTTTCTGACTTCATCCAAGCTGTGGAAGAGGGAGCTGCTGGATTCTATCTGAATCCCTGCCACCACACCCTCCCCCAACTTGTTATGAATGTTTATTGAAGTGAATTAAACTGAATTAGCACTCCTTGGTAGATTTGTAGTAATGCGGTTGGGTAAATTAGAAAGCTAAGCTCAATCTCCTCAAATTTGGAGGAACCTGGTCAGCCCATAGATTCCACTTCTCATTTGGAAACAGTTATATCAAACAAATGCCAGTAAGCCAGCATAAGCCGCCATTCCTGTGGAGGTGTCTCATCTGAACTATTCCAGGATTTTTATCCTCCTCATTCCATCTGAACTCAAGATTGGAAAGGCTCAGATGGAGGCTGAGAAGAGAAAGGATGAAGTAATTGACTGAAATAATGTTTGCAGCTGATGTGGGAATTTTGATCCTTCCCCTTCATTGCCTTGGAACCCAGATCCTGGGAAATTGATGACAATTTTTGGTTACTGAGATTCTGCAGGACTGGTCCTCACCCAGGTTCAAAAGGGAAAATTGTCTCAACCTAAATGGAAAGAAATCAGAGGGTTGGAAAGCAACCAGTCAACTTAACCTTAGTGGATGCTAATAATCACAGAGTAGGTCAAAGTAGTAATAAAATAAAATGAACCCAAAGAAAGAAATCATTATGACCCACTCTTACAGCACATACTCGAGCCAAAGTGCACACAGACAAACAGACAGACTGACAGACACACACACACACACACACACACACACGCACACACACACGTGAGGGTGGATGAGGTAGAGATGTAGAAGTAAAGAGCAGAGACTAATTTTATGTTTTTGTTTTTTACATTCTCAGAGAAAATACCCCAGCAACAAATAGACACAACCACTCACTGATGGAAGAAACAAGCAATTATTCATGTTTCTCTCTTCCACCACCACCCCCCAAAAAAATTTGCTAGAGACATAAGAAGCAACTTGATGTTATTCGCTGGTTCCTTCTTCTGGGGGATTTGGGGAAAATTGGAAGAGGGGCAATGGAGAGAGCACACTGAGACCTGGTGTGTTCTGGCATGTCTCACATCCCGGTAAGACAAGAATGCTTGTTATGAGTGTGGTTGTTTTTTATTGTTTGGAGTCTTGCTATGTATTTTACTATTAAAATATTATTACAGTTCTGTTATAATAAACTCGCGTCAGAGTCTCCTTAGTTAGGGGCAGTCGAGCAGACACTGACAACCTTAATAGTGCTAACAGTAACACAAGACAGTGGCTGTGAATATCTCAGACTAACGAAGCCTTTCAGTCTAGGTCTCTTGAAGCGAGATAGAGCGCTGATCAGGAGGTTAGGCTGAAACTAGTGATGGGTTCGTTCCTTTCCTCCTACCCTAAGCTACACACGCGCACACACACACACACACAGAGTGGCCAGACTGAATCGCTTTCTCGCAAACGAAAACCTATGTGAATAAAAGCAGTAAAGTCTGCCGAGGGGGTAGAGGGATGGGGGCAGAAAAGGACCATTCTTTACTAAGACGCTGCTAAGCAACCGGCTGCCGGGTAAAGATCATTTTCAGAAGGGATCCCCGTCGCACCCCGCCCCCACCTCCTTGCAGGGAGACCCTCTTCCACCCTCTGGCTTAGAGGAAACACATATTAAAGAGAGAAGGGATTGAGGGAGCTGCGAGCACAGCTTCCCGGGTCGGGTCCACGTGCCAGTCTGGGCAAAGCCCCTGTCGGCCCAACACTGGGCACACCCTCAGAAGAAAAAGTGCTCTGTTACTAGTATTTTCCCCCATCCCTGCTTTTCCTTCCCTTCCGCCCCAATGATGGGCATTTGTTTCCCTGTAAGATCTGAGATCCTTTGAATTTTGCAGCCCCGAGACGGAAGTCCCATTTCTCTAGAGACTGCGTTGGCCTAGAATCGCCCGGTGGCGTATATAACTAGCTTCCCTTTTGCCGCTTACCTCACGCTGGAGTATGAACAGATAGGAAACTAGGTAGTGAAGATTGCTCTGGTCCCACTCTGCCCTCCATCCGCTCTTTCCAGAAACCCCAGTCCGGCGCGAATGGTCAGTCAGATGAAGTCAACCAGCCCAAGCCCGAGTACGGCGGTCAGGCAAAGGCCCCAAAGAGAAGGAGCGACGCGGGCTTGTGAACACAGTGTACACTTTATTTCAGACTACAGGTTTCTGAACATAATAAAATCTTTGGCTTGTAGCGGCGGTTCAGTATCGCAGTCTGTGGGGTCGAAACAGGTCTCAGAAAAAAAGGGGGGAGGGCAGAGGGAAGGAAGAAAGGAAGGAAGAAAAGGAAGAAAGAATGAGGAAGGTGGAAGAGACTAAAGGAGAGACGCAGGCACACACGGGACACACACACACACACACACACACACACACACACACAAAGGAAAGTCCGAGATAGGCAGAGTGAAGAGAGGTGGAGGGGTAGGAGGAGAGGGAGGACCAAGAAGCGACCACATTCAAAAGAAAAACGGAACGCAAACGAAACAAGGGGAAAGGGGAGGAGGGGAGGGATAAAATAATAATAATTATAATAATTATAACAATAATAATAATAAAGGAGATTAATAAAATGTCCAGCAAATAGAGATCGCTACACATATTTTTTTCCTTACCTGAAATTAAATATATACAAGGTCGTAAGCTGTTTGGCTATATAGAGATTTAAGTGTTCGCATTTTCGTCCCTTATACTATTAATAGAGAATAGATCTGATTTCGATAGCACCTGTCCGAGTCTCTCTTTTTAAAAAAAAATTTTCTTTCAACATGACTTGCCGTTCGAAGTCTTCCCCCCCCCCCTTTTGTTTATTATTTTCTTCCCTGGAAAAAAAACCATTTGAGCCAGAGGAGGGGAACGAGGAGAGGGTAGGGATGGGAGGGTGTCGGGAGCCAGCGTGAAGCAGGGGTTGGGGGTGGGGGAGAAGGGGGAAGTGGCTACTCGCTCTCCTCTTTGTCCTGTACCGTGGTTGTGGAATGGTTGTAAAGTCCCTGGGCCATGAGGTGCAGAGCCAGGCCATTCTTAATGCCTGTGGCCTTCTTGATCTTAGCGCGTTTGTTCTGGAACCAGATTTTGATCTGGGACTCGTTGAGGCTGAGCTCCTGGGCCAGGGTCTGCCGGCGTTGCTCGGTAATGTAGCGGTTCGCCTGGAACTCCGCCTTGAGTCTCTGCAGCTGCTCTGCGGTGAATGCCGTCCGCGGCCGCTTGTCTTCCTTCTCATTCTTCTTCTTCTTTAGTTTCCTGGTGCGGGGACCTACATGTGAGGGAGACAGGCCGGGGAGGGGAAGGCAAAGGGGGGGAGAGAGAGAGAAGACAGAGAGAAACAGGGAAAGAGGGAAGAAAATGGGTGGGGGAGAGGAAGGTGGAAAGGCAGCTGTGTGAATTGTATCAGTGAAAGGGGGTGTTCTTGAATCATAGTTCTTGGTTACTAAAGCCCATTCTGTTTCCGAAGTTTCCCCTCCCTCTCATCCATTGCATCCCGACCCCACCCCCAATTCAAGAAGCAGCCTTCCCTGGCCCAAACCAATTGTTCCTTATTACCAACTCTTATCTTCTTTCTGATGAGGAGTAAAGAGTGAGAAAGAAAAAAATGGCCGACAGCTACAGGACCCCCACAATTTCAATCTAGATCAAAGGAGGGGAAGAGGAAGCTTGTAGGATTTCCCCTTCTCGCTAGCACTACCAGTTAAAAGAATGGGGGGAGAGGGGAGAGCCAAAGGCATTCACCTGAGTATAAGATTCGAACTAGCCAGGCCCCAGGCAACCCAGGGACCAAAGAAGCAGTAGATTATCTCACGAAGAAAGGAATTACTAGGACCGAAATCTGGGCCCCCGCCCAGTTTTCTTTCCTTCTGCTCCCTTCTTCCCCCCATGGGAAACCCAAAATCGGCCTGTGGAAGCAGATTCTGCAGGCTGGGACCAGTCATTCCCACCATGACAATGAGGAAGGGGATAAAGAAGCTGGGAGAGGAGGAGCTGACACCCGAGCTGGAAACCCAGACGAGTCATTTTGTGTGTCTCCCTCACCCCCCACTTCACGACCACCCCTTTAACTTCCGAGATCTTAGGTCGCGGTTCCACTGAGGCTGAGAAAATAAATACTAGTAGAAACCACTTCAAACCAATACCCGCTGTCCTTTACCAAGACAGCATCATTATAGCTACCCCTTCCCCCACCTCTGGCCTCCCAATCTAGAGAAACCCACTCCACCCCCGCATCAGAAGAAAAGCAAAGAGATCGAGAAAATTAAGCCCGCGGGGTCAAGGCCTCCTGAGAAGGACGAAGAAATAGACTGTTTTCCCCTGGCCCCCGGCCTTAGTCGTCTTTCTTTCTGCCGCAAGCTTCGCTCTAACCCTGACCGGGTTGGGTTCAAGCGCCCCAGGCCCTCTTCCTTTCAGTTATTTTCTGTGAGACCCCGGGGAATGCCAGACCCTGCCGCGTAAAGAGAGGAAGTTAGATGCCTTCTGTTACAGACAAGTTTCTGCGCCGCCAACTAAAGGGTCTGGGGCCAGACCCGGGAGCTGTGGGAAATAAATTGACTGCAAGGGCACTCTTCACTCAGAACAGCTGGAGGAGCCACGGTTCCGGCTAAGGTTAGTGGGGAACCGATAAACTCGTCATGATCAACAGTGAACCTTTGCAAGCGCCCCCAATCAGCACTCTTATTGCTTTCTCTTCCCAAATCAACTCTCCTTAAATGTTCACGTGTTGGAAAAGGATACCTGCCTCTATCCAGACGATCGCGTTGATGCCAGCCTCTAGCAATTTCGAAATTCATTGACTTTGTATATTTTTATATTTTAAGGCCTCTACTATTTATTTCATGAATTGTAAAAAACAAAAACAAAAACAACCAACAAAAGAAACAAAATGTAACGAAATTAAAAAAAAAAGGAAACACAAGGAAATCGGAATTGGAACTGAAATTTTTAGCCCCTTTGCCATTTTCAAGATAAAGCATCTTCTACACATATTCTTCCCTGGCCGATATTTCTGAACCAAAACGCAAATGAGAGAGGGGCAACAGGAAGGGGGGAAAAGCTTCTACATATAATTCAGGGCTTCATCCCAGAGGCCAAGGACATAGGCATACAGCCAGAACCCATGGATCCCGTGGACCCCAGTTACTATATTCCACAAGCCCGCTGAGTCTTCCGCACACCTAGGTTCCATTGGTCCTCTGACAGTCGGTAGAAGATAGGGAATTAGGATAGAGAACTATGAGGCTACACAATCAGACAGACAGACAGAGATTTTGAGATCACTCAGCTGTCAGTTGGCTTATCCCTCTACCTGATCCATGCTTCAGTACACCTACATTCCCGTCCTATTTTTTTTTTATTGATATTTGATTCTCCAGGATTCTTGCAATAGAGGATGGAAAGGTCAGAAATGGAGATTTTGAGAAGGGTAAACAGTAGAGGCTGAAGTCTCCCGGCCTTTCCTTGTAAGAAGCCAGCTAACCAAATTGTTGCTATTCATAAAAACTGTAAAGCCTTGGAGAGGTACTCCAGTAAGTGTCACCATGTAGAGAAACAGGCCACATTGCTCTGCTTCTGCCAGAAAGGAATATAAACAGGGAATCTTTGAACAAACTCTAGTCTACGATTAGTAGATTGAGTAGGGGTATGAACCCCACATGAACCGCATAACTTTTGATGGTTACAGTCAGGGCCTAGGGAATCTGGAGCCTGGTAGCCAGGCCACTCTTGGGTGTAGGTTGGAGACTGGAGACAAGTGTGACATCTTCCTGTAAGATAGCCCACTCCTCTCATCTGAGAGAAAGAGGATCACAATATCAGAGTGCTAGGTTAAGCTCGAGCCCCTTTGATGGGATCCTGGAGTTCAACCTTCCTAGTTGGAAAGCTTTCTAGGTGATTGCGAATTGATTTTTTTTTTCCGGGTGGAGACCAGACTCCTAATGTCCACTTCCCATTACAAACCAAAAGGCAAGTCTCCATTCCCTCTAGGAAAATCCTGGGATCCAGAAAGTTACAGAGAATACAACTGGGCCCCTAGCGCTAAAACTCCCGATACCAAGGGCAAAGACGCTGACCTAGACAAGGTGGAAGAACCCCAATGAGGAAGAAGAAGGCATTTAATTTATTTCTTTTGGTAATGTGAAGGGAGAGGAGACAATCATAGCCAGAGAGGCCTAGACCCCTGTCTGTATCTGAGACTGGGTTTATGGTGGTGCATGTGTATGGACACACTGAGCACAGGCAATAAAATCGTTTCTCCCCGGCCAGCCCTAGCAGCTGACCTGACAGCTCAATCACTCTATCCATCAGGCGAGTCAATCAAAGCGGCTTTTCGGAGGTTCAGGGAGACGGACGTGTCAATAGCGGGGGGATCGAGATGACTGGGGCTGATAGCGGCCTATCGATTGGCTCTGCAGCCCAAGGAATTCGGGACAGAACTGAAGGGAGAGGTGAAGAGAGAAGAAAACGGAAATGGGGAGCTGGGAGACTCCCGGATACCTTCATGGAGTTCCTAGCTCCGACCGCACGAAATAGTCACCGTCCCTAAACTCTACCTCTTTCCTCAGCCTAGGCTGGGCTTGACTGGGATGAGATTTGGGAACAGGGCAGGTGTGGGTTCCTTCTTCTCTCCCTACTAAGACTGAAAGGGAACTAGGGGGCCAAGGGTTGAGAGACCCAATGTCCAAAAGACACTAAGGAAATAACCTAGGAGCTGCCCAGTGAAGTAGGAGACACACCAATGGAAAGCACGCTAAGGTCGCTGTGCCACCAAAGAAGAAAAAAAGGAGCGTTGGAGGGGGGAGAAAACCTCAAAACAATCAAGAGCCGTAGGTGTTGTGTACTGGTTGAGGTAAAAAGAAAAGGGGCTAACGGGAAAAGAGGGTTTTGAGAGCCGAATTTCTCAGTTTAGCAGTGGAAGCAGCGAGACTCAGAAGCTGGCCTTCGGGCCTGCTCAAGCTTCTCTTTCTTTCGATTTTCTCACTGTCCTATAGATTGTCCCTCTTCATCTCCTCCTAAAAGCTAAGATTCATCTCCTGGACTATCTTAACGCCTACTTTCTCCTACCAGCCCAGGGGGTCCTTGTGATTCCTTTCTGATATTATTCTACTGAAGTCCCTTGTTTCTTTGCCCCACGACAGGGCCTCTCCTTCCCGTACCCGAGAAAAATAATTCTCCTTCTCATTCTCTCCCCCCCCATATCAGTATTGCAGAATACTGGTAGTGTGTATAAATTCTAATGTACACATTTCTAAAATCGCAGCCTATCTTCTTGTCGATATAAAACCGAACTCTCTAGCCTAGGCCTTACCATCTTTATCAAACAAAAGTTCTCAGCCAACCCCAGAAAAAGGAAAAAAAAAGAAATTATTATGAATAATACTTTAAAGCCTTAGGAATTCAATAGCGAATCCTCCCCGGTGCCCAACCCCAACTGTTCCAGAACTTCAGCTGGGCGAGAGACGAAGGCGTCACAGAAAAGGGGGTACAAATAAAATATTTGAGAAGTGGAAGCAAGAAGAACAGAGAAAAGGAATAGCATAGGTTGGGGGAGAACGGGGGAAGGAAAATGCATCATTATTTTGGTTTCTAAGAGCTCTTGGCGGGGGTGGGGGTGGGGAGTGTACACCGGTGACCCTAGAGGGACAGGGGAGTGAGCACTCACTTCAAAGGGTGTACTCACCAGAAGATGGGCGATCTGAATAACGCGTACAGTAGACCCAAGCGGGCCATACTAGCGGTTGCTGCGAGTCAGTTTTAACCACTGGCCCACCGTTGGCCGAGCCCATGAGTAGAATAGCCGGGTTCCCATGTTCCCCGTATTTAGCGCCAGTTGCTCCAGGACTCCCCCCGCTGCCTTCCGAAGGCTTGGAAGCAGCGGCTGCTGCGGCTGCCGCCGCCGCCACAGCCGCCGCCGCGGCAGCAGCCGCAGCAGCCGCCGCCGCTGGGTTGGCTTTGGAAGCGGCGGCGGCCGGGGCCGGCGCAGAACCGTCGGGCGTCACACAGTTCGCATCTGCGGGGCAGAGAAGTGAAGCCGGGTTGGCCGGCCGCGTGCCCAGAGAATTGGCCGGATCTCTACCTGCGGCTGTCTGTCCTCTATCTCGCTCTGCCCGTCCTCCTCCTCCTCCTCCTCCTCCTCCTCCTCCACCACCACCACCAGCACCAGCACCAGTACTACCGCCACCTCCTCCTCCTCCTCCCGCTCCAACTAAGAGCTGATGTTGTTGCTGCTGCTCCTTCTTGCAACCAAAGTCTGGCCTTAGGATGTTGTCTATGAAAAAGTTGGTGGTGCGGTGCTGCTGGGGCGGTGGCGGCGGCGGCGGCGGTGGGGGCGGCTGGTGAGGAGGCGCTGGCATCGGCTGGGGTGGCGGCGGGGGCTGGTGGTGATTGTGGTGGTGGTGGTGGTGGTGGTGGTGGTGGTGATGGTGGTGGGGTAGGGGCTGGAGGCAGGGTGCTGCAGGAGAAGAGGGAGCTTGCTGCGGGGACACTGGCACGCTGTCTCCATCGCTGCCGCTGCTGCTGCTCCCGCTGCTGCTGCTGCTGCTGCTGCTGTTGCTGTTGCTGCTGCTGCTGCTGCCGCTGCTGCCGCTGCTGCCGCTGTGGCTCGCAGTGCCTATGGTGGAGTCGCGCTGACTGTTATGCTCCGGCTGCTGCTCTTCCATACTCAGCCGCCCCGCCGCCCCGGACGCGGCTTCCTTCCCCCTCCCCCCCGCTTCGCTCTCCACCCCACTTTGCCAGTGGCCGGTGGGGGTGCGGGGAGGAAAGAAGGAGAGGAAGGAGGAAAAGGAGAAAAAGAGGAGGAGAAGGAAAAGGAGAAGAAAAAGAAGGGAAAAAAGATCAGGCGTTTGTCTCGAATCTCTCTTTTACCGAGCAGATCTGTTTTCCTCTCTAATTTGCAGATATCCAAAAATGAAGACACTTCGCTATTTCTTTTTGCAACCAGATTCGGTTTTTGTTGTTGTTGATTTTTTTTTTTTAAGGAAGGAAAGCCGCACCAGGAGGAGCAACCCCAAATAAAATATTTTTTCTTAAAGGAAAAAAAAAGTCCTTAAAATCTAGCCATCTTCCTAAGCAATAGTGAGGGGTTTGACTTCCCCAAGTGTCATGCTCAGCTTTGCCCACAGCTCGAGGTTGGCAGCGCCTTTAATCGCCTTTGCTTTTTTTGCAGGGAGAGAGTGTCTCCACCACCGCGCCTGAGCTTTTTTTTTTCCTTTTTCCTTTTTTTTTTTTTCAAATCTCTGACAGCTCCGATCTTTGCACAAACTCTCTCTCTTAAAAAAAAAAAAAATCACCCAGGCACACTTTTTGCATTCAAACCGGAAGCACGTGAGTCTGGGCCGCACGTGTGAGGGGCCAATAGCGAACCGTGACTCTCGCTGACACCCGTGACGCAGGCCAATGAGTGGGCTTGGAACTTTGCGGATAAATAATCCTTGGGGTTGGAGCGGGGAGAGGGGGAGTCGCCGGGTAGCCTGGCGCGTACATTCTTGACTCGGCTCTTCCTCCACCTCCTCCCCTCTTCACCACTACCACCCCCCTCCCAAAAGTTTCCCTTCTTCCTACGCCCAGCCTCCACCTCTTCCCTGCCCCTCCCCCCAAGTGTGTATGTGTGCGGGGGTGTCATTTGTGGTGTAGGCAAATGTGAAATTAACTCCATAAGAACTTGTTCAGGTCATACAGAGTAGGCTTACGGGTCTGTATTCAGCAGGCCAGGCAGGGTCAGAGGGGAAAAGACTTTTGTCCCTTTCTCTCTCCCTCCAAGGAGATTGAGAAGTTGTCATTATACTGGAGTAGGCATGAGTGATAATAATGGTGACAGTGGTGGTTACGAGCGTGATAAGAAATTTGTTCTCCGCTGCTATTAAACGGGGGTTTAAATTGGTACAGATTTAGAAATTGATTTCCTTTCTTTTTCTTAATCGAACCAAGGAAACTATCTGGGGCAAGCTAGCAGGACGATTTTAGGCAGTTCAAGCCTGTAACGTCGCATGGTTTCTGGGTCTGATAAGCATCCCTCAGTCTTCTTGCTGTCGTCCTTTTTCCTTCGTTTAGTTGAGTTTTTTACTTAACTGTTTCGAGTTAGTCCGTGGCCAGACATCTCAGGTACTGGGGTGCAAGAAACCCAACTTGGAAGTACTTGAGCATATAAGAGATCCCAATATACGTTTCCTGCCTGCATCAGACAGAAACGGGTTTGACAGTTAACCCTCCGAAAGAACCCTCGTAGCAGGCGTCCCTTCTGCAGTTAGCCTACTGGTCAGGCAGCAGCAAACTCCAAAAAGAAGAGAAGTTGCTTGTCTGGAAATCTCCAGACGCTGATACCACGGGATGGGAACGGGAAGTTCTCGGTTGGAAGACGGGGAGGAGGGGGTGTGTGGGTGGGTAGGGGGTAAGTGGAGATCTTTGAACCTTAGGGACATTGGCTAAAAACCAATCTTGTTGATAATTATTTCCTACTATTTTTTTTAAGACCACAAACCCTTACATAATACGCTCCCTGGCATAATGATTTCGAATACTCGCTCTTTCCCCCTTTTCTTGTCACAGAATAATTATTCTCCTTCAATTCTCCTAAAAATAAGCACCACTACCAGCCCCAGTTCACTACCCTACCCCCTCCACTATGTTCTGGGACCCTTAGATTTCTGTCTGACCAGGGTTTATAGAGTTTTTTACTTCTGAGGATGGTCTAGCAGACTGAGCTCCGTTCCCCAATTTACGAACTCTTCCTTGAAAGTAGAACTGTTTGGGAGAGTTCCCCCGCATATGGGCATCCCGAAATATTCTACCTCTTTTGCCTCAGCCCGGTACTCCCAGGGAGACGGAAGATCGGAGTATTATTTCTGGTGAGAGGGGTTTGAAATTCTAACCTATCTCTTTCTGCCCCTACCCCTTGGGAAAAGTGGGGGATATTTGGAGACCCTGGGGTGGGGTGGGGGAGATCCCGGCCAATTCTCCCCTTTCATCTCCATTTCCTCCTAGAGGCCTGGTCCAGGCAACAGTCACTTCAGGAATTTACACACACACACACACACACACACACACACGGAGTCATTGCCCAGAATTTTTTTTTTTTCTTGAAAACTAAACTGGGGGACGGAGACGTGGGGAAGGGGAAAAAAATGAAAAGGATGCCAAGCCTAGACAAGTCACAACTGAGGTAACTGAGGAGAGCTAGTCCCAGCTCGGGGATTCTGATTTCTCTTCCTATTTTCACAATTGATCTATGGATCACCTTGGAGGTGCCGGCATCATTGTCACCCTTGAAATAAAAGAGAAAGATGTCGGGGTGTCGGGAGCTAGAGGGAGACTGGGGCGAGGGGAAGGAGAGAATACTTCGGACCCTTCTCCTTCGGTGAGACTTCTACCCGCCGACTCCAACCTCTCAAATAACACCGCCACCCACGGGGGGGGGGTGTCTCTCTGCCTCCCCGCCCCCCCATTTAACAAAATATTGGGGCCCTCTCCCCCAACGTGCCTCCCTCAACTCCCTCAGACATACAGGCACCAAAATGGGGGGTGGGATTTTATTTATATTTAAGTTAGCAAAATTGAAATCTTTATCCCGCAAGCGAGCGTGGGTACTTAATTAAATTCTAATTAGGACACTATCAATATCCTATTTAGCCACGTAGCTTTTGTGCAGCGCGGTCCCTTTCAGCGCCATAAATAGGGTCTCGACGCGTTATCTCGCCTGCAGGAGACGCCTCGAGAAGGGCTGCGGAAGATAATTTATAGGTTTTAATTACTCTTCATTCCGCCTGATCAGCTTGGCGTTCATCACAGGACTGTGAATAAAAACCTGGTCAAAAGCTCTGTCACATTGCGCTGGCAAGACGCTTAATCAAAGTGAGCGGGGCCCGCGCTCCACGCGGCCCGACTCCTCCACGTAATTTCCAGGCTGCTGATAAAGCCAGCTGAATAATGCGGCGGCCCTTTGGAGACACCATTTACAGAAATGACTTTATTGACGGCTTAACGTCGGTAATTCATTTTACCTTTCATGTAGTGGAGCCCGGATTTGTTACAGTAATGGGATGATAAATGCACCGCCGGCCCTATAGCTCCGACTGTAATGTGGAGCACAATGCGCGCTCCCAGCCCCCAAAGCTGGGGCCCCGGCGCGGGATGGCCGCTCGGCCAGTTCACCTCCGCACCGCAAGACCCCCGCCTTGCCTCCCTGCCCTCTCCAAGCTGCACTCCTCTGGCTCAACTCTGGTGCATTAAAATACAACGGGAAATTAAGTGAAGGGAATGAGGGTGCTCTCTCTTAAAGAGGTGCCCTCTTTAGGGGGCCCATTTGCCTATGTTTGGTGGGGGGGGATTTCCTTCTCTTCTGAAGATGTGAATTCTTTTCTCTGGAGAAAATCCGGATTTGGGGATCCTATGGAGGGGTGGAGAAAGGTGGTAGCACTGAGTGTGTGTGCGAGGGAGGGGGTAGAGGGAAGATAGACGAGAAAGTGCTCAGAGGGAAAGAAGGATCTATCTATCTATTCCCTCCTCCCGGGGCCTGAATCTTAGAGCAGTTGAGAAGTTTGTAGGTTCCGTGGTGCTCCCGGTCCCGCGAGGGAGGAAGGGTGGAAGGGAAGGGCACTTTGGACCAGGGGATCATAGATTCAACCTTTTCCGTTGGCTTCAAGAGAAACATTTCACTTTCTTCCTAGCAAAACCGGGTAGTCTTGGTCCACTTCTATCTAAACGGGGAAAGTGTCTTTTATTATAAATCGTTGTGTTCCATTCCACCTTCCCATTGCCACTTTTCAAGGAAGAAGGGGTGCTTCTGTAACCCAGACTTAAGGTCACTGTGGTTACTACTTGTCTGATCCCTGGCCTCTCTCCCTTCCCACCTTACCAAAGTGATTGCCTTCTATTGAACTAAGGAATTTGGGGAATTGATATGGGGTAAGTGTATATGTGTTGAGGAAACTAAATCTTACGGGAGGAAATAACGTCGGTAAGAGTTTGGGGGGGG